TGTCAGTCACGAAAATTGATGAATAAATTAATACACATAAAATATGAATCACGGGCTAATTCAATGGTCACCGAACACTCCACTATAAACAATCTGTGGCAAGATAGTAGCGTACTGTATATTTGACCCAGATTTGACAAGCGTGGTACAGTTTTTTGCGCGTGTCCGTAATAACGCGCACAAAGGATTGTGGGACAGAGTCCTTTATTTGCTGGCATTCTTGACTTTTGACTGCAGTTCTTTTTTTATATTTTAGAGTAAATGCTTCTGATATGCTCTTAGGTTGCTTAATATCCGTCTGAAATTCTGGACTGTGGTCATATTTTTCGATTAGGAGTCGTATATTTAAATTACTCACTGTGACTAGTGTTTTGCATTATGAAGTATATTGTTATGAAGGTCAACACACTGCAATTTAGGTAAATATTTACCATTTCGTTATTTCATTATTTCGCTTTCCAGCATTTCCGGGAAACGCTTCATTCTAAAAAATGCTATCGCAAAACGGTTGGAAATAATAAATGTAACAGCAGAATACGTCCTAGCACAGTCACTCTACTAGGAGAGAGTAACTGTGGTCCTAGTACTAAACTAAGTGACTTCTAAAGACTGAATGGTGTTTGCGAACTTCGTATTAGTTATAAACCAACGTCAGCTTCACGTTTATGTCACCATGGAAACAGCCAAAAAACATGTTGCTTGTTTTTGAGCGGAGCGGATCGCCAACCAGCCTACCGGCTTGTATTTAAATTCACTCATATTCATGCCAATAAATATAAAATACAGTTTTAGCAATGATTAAGTGTGAAAATTTAGATTAAAATGTGCAAAATGTGCCTGTAAAATGTGTAAACCTTGGATCGCCAAATTTAAAGAATGATAGAAGCAGCACTTTAAGAACCATCAAGTTTTGCTGGATAGTTTTCTAATTTGAAGTATATTTGAGAAGATGTATAATCAGAGAAGTATTTCAATTGCTGGAAAGGTCAATTAGGGTATCATACCAGGAGGATCCCACTTCACCTTTCTGACAGAACTTCAAGTGTATTCTGTACGGATGTTGTCGCTATGAAAAACATAAAATAAGTACTGAAAAGACCAAGAAACAATATTACAGTGTGAGATTAATATAAGCGATCAATCAATTTTTTCATTAGTTCGCTGGAAATTTAAATTGTCCAACTTAATCAGAGTTGATCGTTATAAAATGCCTGGAGGCATCTCATATTGCAGCAATTATGGGGTCTTTTATTGACTGCCACTTGGTTCATTTATTGAAAACATCTCACTTGTCTGTCAAACTAACTAATCAACTTCAAATTTACACAATGTGAAATATAAGGGAAATTTGTCAATGTG